CCGTGGTACACGCACCGTGGTACACACACCGATTCTCTGTTTGGTAACACAGAAGAGTCCTTGTATGGCCCTAATTTTTTATTAGCTATTAATTTTTGTCTATGTGCTCTACTGAGTCTTTCCTCAGCCAGAAATCATAAGGAGTAGAATAAAATGTTAATTCCAGGGTTTTTCTTAATTAATAAAGCCTTACAATGTATTCCAGACTATGCTATGATGAAGCTTAATGCACTGTGTAGGTTCACTTTTTGGTTTTTTGTTTTGTTTTACAGTGTTGGGGATAGCTTGGCAATGCTCTGTGTCTGAACCCCACCCCCAGAGTTACATATTTGGGAATCTATTCCAAGGATGGGAAAGATATATGCTTCCTAAACCTAATAAACACAGGGTGTCAGAACCAAAGAGAACGTGCCTTTGTAAGTGAAGAAGTCAATGTCTCAGTCTCCAGATAAGGTCAAGGGTCAGGTGTTGAGCAGAGAAGCCAAGCAGAAAGGAAACACAGGGTAGTTGGCTGTGAGCTGAGCAAGTAGGGACTAACCACAGAGCTGTACAGAGGCAGGGAAGGTCTTGGGGGATGCAGAATCTGCTCTGCTTCCCTCAGCTGTGAACACTGCTCCTTGTGGCAGCCTGGCCCTGGCCTTGAAAGCAGAAATTATCACATGATCACCCATTCTGATTATCCCAGATTAGGGACTGGCAGGAAGGGTATGTGGTAAAGGATATTTCTAGAATGTGCCTAGGGAATCTGGCGAGGAGTTCAGAGGAGAGATGGAATTGGGCGGGTGGGTAGGAAGAAGACTTAAATAGATGCCCTGCAAGCTATGTTTTGGGAGGGTCTTGGTAATGGAATGCTTTAGACCACGCCATGCCAGCAACAGAAATGCATGTTCCTGGAGGTTCTGGGGACCCCAAGTCCAAGAGCAAGATGTCAGCAGGCTGCCTTCTTCTGAGGCCTTTCCTGGACAGATGATCATCTTTTTGTGTCCTCATATCTGTCCCTTGTCCCTCAGTCTCTATGTCTACACCCTCACCTCTTTATAAAGACCAGACCCAACCTATGACTTCGTTTTACCCCTGGTGCTTCGGTGAGCACATCATCTCCAAATACAGCCAAACCCTCGGGGATTGAAAGTTAAGGCTTGAGGGTGAACTCCAGGGGCCAGGGACACAGTTCCGGCCCTAACAGGAAGGAGGAAGAGTTGCTGGGTGAGACTGGAGGAGGGGGAGCTTGTGGCTCAGAACAGGAAATTACCAAGCCAGTGGCCCAATTGTAAGCTGGTGTCAGGGTCAGCCTAGACAAATGTCAAATGAGAACTGGTGGCAGTGGCTGTGCCCGTGGAGAAGACTTCAGAACGAGAGGCATGGATTTCCCTAGCGCCCTCCCAGATAGACGGTTCTCAACCTGAGGAGTTCGACCCCTACAGGGGTCACACATATCAGATATCCAGCATATCAGATATTTACATTATGATTCCTAACAGCAGCAAAATTACAGTTAAGAAGTAGCAATGAAATAATTTTACGGTTGGAAGTCACCACGTCATGAGGGACTGTGTTAAAGAGTCGCAGCATTAGCAAGTTGAGAACCACTGTCCTGGAGTATGCATTGAAACCACATGTCCCATGTCACCCTCATACTGTAAAGCGCCAAGGGCTCAAAGTGGCTCTTGTCATTTCTGATTTCCCAGCCACTTAGTCAGCCGTGAATAGCTGACCTGAAAAGCTGATTCCTGGTCAGACTTTCCCCACCTCCCCCACCAGACCAAGGGTCATGTGCCTGCAGTTTTCTGTAAATACCAGTAGATGGCAACCTCCCATCCCTGGCGGGTTGACCCACAGGGATCAGCAATGACCTGGCCCCTCAAGGACAGATCTTACTCTGTCTTGCCAATGGAATCTGAGGCCTAACAAGGATCAAAAACTAGGTCCCCATTTGGGGGCGCAGACGCCTCCACATGTGTCCTTGTACCTCCATCTCCAGTCACAGTCTCTCCCAAATGTCCCATGTGTCTAGGCTTGTTTCACTTTTCTCAAGGCAGCTAAACTTTTTTTGTAGGCTTGCTTCATCTCACGCCAGTTCAGGGGTGTCCTCCCTTCTGACATCACAATCTGAGGTTGTCATCTGCAAACGTGTTGGCCACATTCACACTGTCCTGGGATGCGTGTGATTCACGGGCTGCAGGCTCCACGCATCCGAACCTTCCTGTCCCTCCCCCACCCTCCTGCTCCTTGCCAACCCTGAAGAGAAACTCCTCAGTTGCTTTATAACCAGTTCCTAATCCCCAGCTCATCGAGTGTAATAGACGTTAAAGGACCTTCCCTTGTGGAAGTCTCGGAAATGATTAGGCTGACGTTTCTGTGAAAAAAAGCATAAAGGCTTTTGTATCAACTATCAGCAACACAACTCATTTAGTTTAGTTTTGGCGTTTTAAGGGTTAAAAATTTAGTATCGGCTGTAATATTTTAAAGCAAAACAGAGCATCGGTGTTAGTGTTAAGAATCCATTTGATGACAAGTGATGTGATTGACGAAATGGCATTAAATATGATTGATGAAATGGCATTAAAGTGTGACCCTGGCGTGAAGAGTAGAACCTCAGAGGTGAGGAAAGACGTGGGCACCTGACAGTGAACACAGAGAGACGCGACTCAATGGTAGAGACATGGCCGGCTGACGGTAGCCAGCTCTGGCTGAGGCTAGCTCCGGGCAGACCTGGGAGGAGCAGTTCACATCACCAGTCATCACAGACCCTCTCAACTCCGTGCCATGGCTATTTCTGGTTTTGTCTTAGAGGGGAAACTGAGTTCAGAGAGGTAGAAGTTCCCCAAGGTCTCACAGTGTCCTGGCTCTACAGCAGAGGGTGGTGTCTACCCCCAACGCCACATCAATAATAGCATAATTATGGCTCCTCAAAGGTGAGAAGGTTCACAATTAATCTAGAAATATGTTGCATTTCCCCTCAGTTCCTCACAAAAGTGACTAAGGCCATTCAGGCCAGCTACGGCCAGCTGGCAGTGATGCAGCAATGGATGTATACAGAGGACTAAAAAGAAAGCATTCAGATTTCCTCCTAGGGGGTGGGAGCCTGCAGGTTTGAAGTTCCTAGCTTAGCTAGCCCAGGTGGGTCCCCCAGAACCCCTCGCAGATGGGTCCCCCAGAACCCACACCCAGTTTGCCCCCTTGGGTGTGGCGGGCATTCCCACCTCACACTCTGCCACGGCTTTACTTTTATATCAAAATTAGTAAGAGGCCCATCAACTTGGCGCACAGCTAGTGGGCCTGCCCTTTGAGGGCCCTCTCTGCCCCTCGATCATCTCCATAGCCAGGGCCCCGATAAGTATGCAAATTGCACTACTGTCTTCTAAACCTAGAAATGCCCTTTCCCAGAATCCCAGGGAACCCTGAGTGTCTACATTTGACTAAGCCACTGTCATTATTTTAAGGCAAGGTGTAGAAGTTTGGTACACACTGACAACTAACAACTAACTGACAACGATCTTTTTAAAGTGTCAGATTTAAAGGTAGCTTTGTAAATTTGCAGTGAGCCCTGCACCTCTGCCCTTAGCCCAGAAGATTCCATGCCTTCACGGTGGGCTCACCCAGATGGAAGCTACCAAAACTACAAGGAAAATAAACTGGACTTTTGTGATTCTGAGTCACAAGAAATCCTGTTTTGCTCAGACAGCAGGATAAACAGCAAGGCACCTCAGGGAAGCCTCTTCGGCCAGGTCATAGAGTGACGTTTTATCTGTGTACATGTGCGGCTATTTCCGCCAATAGAGATAACTCTAGTTTTTTTTAATTCCTCTTTGTCGCTTCCATGATGAATCATGTAGTCAGAATAAGTTATTTTGAAAATAAAAGTAATGGGTTAGTCTAGATTATCTCTAATTTTTTTTGATAATTCCACTAAAATTTTCACACACACACACACACACACACACACACACACACACACACACACACACACAAATGGTATTTCCCAAAAGCAGTTGCTCCTCAGAACAGAACCATGTTACCCTACCAAGCAAGGCAGGATCAGCATCCAGGGGCAGAAAGCTACAGCAGCCCACTTTAGAAACCCTAGTGTGGCTGTTCACCTCAGTGAGGTGTGTCAGAACATGACAAGGGAGGCTGACTCTGTCCTAGCCAAGCAAAGGGCGGAGACTGGGGCAGGGGCTGGGGCTCAGTGTGTGACGTTCTTACCCTCACCTGGGAGACTCTAAGTTCAGTCCCCAGGGCCACTGCCAGCAGCTTCTCACACACTGCAAATGAATTTCACCTTGAGGCCTCCAAAACCGAGTGTGCCGTCAGCTCCTCAACCAGTCCAGATGGCGTGGCTCTCAGGACTGTGGGGCACTTAGGGCTCAGATGAACCATCTCCCGTAACCAAACAAGAACACCCAGGACTCAGGAATGCCCCAGCCACCCTACACCTCTTTCCAGTGACTGTTCCCCTGGAAGAGGTTTCTTATGCAAAACACCTTTTCACTGTAACTGTAGGGGTCCAGTTGATTTGCAGTCTGACTCAGGAGCCGGCAAGTCTGCAGTGCTGGGTATGATTCTTAAAGCCACAGGTCCCAAACGCCTGGACATAGGCTCACTCAGACTTTGGTGAATGTTACTGCATTTCCTGTTCCTAGAATGAATATAGAAACAGTGTCGAAGGCCACTGTCTGCTTCACTGCCTTTCGGCAAAACCATACAGAGCCATCGCTAATGTGAAGGGTCTCTATGTTAGGGACCGTGTCAGCAGAATCGGAGCCCCCTGCACCTGTCCGTCATCACTCGCAGGAATTAGCTCCTGTATTCAAATCGAGCCTCTCCTAAGAGTTTCCCAGCCTCTCCTTATTCAAGTCTCATCCAAGGTGGGAAGTAGCTGTTGCCATCAATGTTACACTAACTGCTGGGAGTGCAGCTTCCACACCTCCCGTGGGAAGCACTTCGCTCAGCTGCCTAGCCTGACCTTTACAGAGAACACAGGGGGGGAGCACACTCACCTTGGGTATGTGAGGAAACTGTAGCTCGTGGAGACAGAAATGATTGTCCTGAGTACAGCTAGTTAGCAGCAGGGTTGACGGAGCCAACTCGGAGCAGCCATCTTCTTCAATTCCATGTCCCTAAAGCCTCTGTTTAACCCCCTCCCTTTTCCTGATCTGTGTTACCTGGAATTACCCCATGTTCTCATCCTGTTTCGTGCCTCAGGATCCTAGATCTCAGACAGGGATGCTGGCATCCTTGGAGGAAGGTGCACTTAGAGTGTCTCCTGCCTGCTTGAGATGCGTCCTTTCTGAGAGAAAAGGGTTTGAGCTGGTGTGAGATGAGCAGCAATCGGCTCCCAGCCCTCTTGGGGGTCGGTCATCTGGCTGGATGGGACCAGAGATTTCTCTCAGCTGTGCTGTAGAACAAGCCCAGGGTTCAGACACAGAGGATATGTCCTTGAGCTAGCTTGCAGGCAGGGACTTCCTTTGAAGTCAGGGCTGGGGAGGAGGCAATCCAAGCACAGCTGCCACCCTGGTGCCACCACTCATTAGGACTGAGGTAATGGTCAACGTGTTGGAAGGCTCAGAGGCCTCAGAACAATGTTGGGAATTAGGTGAACCACTGTTGGAGTGCATCCTGGGGAGCAGGGGCGTGCTGAGTGTTATAGAGTGTATCTGTTATAAGTTAAGCCGGGGTTTCCTGAGACATGGCCCATGATGTTCTCAAAATATAGGAGTGTTGAGCTACAGGCCAGCTGAGCAATGTCCAGTCAGGAAGTGGGACATGCTTCCCATGCACTCTGCCTCCATGGACAGATCCCAGCACTCAGCTTCAGGGTCAGAGTGGAGGAGAGGATAAATGGGCCTTTTAGACTTTGGATTTTCAAGGTCTGTTGCTAGAGTCATTTCTGACATAAGTCACAGAGTGTCTCCACTCTCTGGTTCAGGGCCCAGGTACAAGGTCTATTTTCTTTATTTTTGAATGGTTACCTAATTTGGAAGTCAGAACTTCTAAGACAAAATAACCTTATTCAGAGAAACAACAAAGCACAATTAGATCAGTTCAGATTGGTGGTCCACGTCAGTTGTCACCCCCCCTCCCTGCGTGTTCTTCCTCTGCGCATGCACACAGCCTCGCTGCTCCCCCAGGCAGTCCTGCCTCGCCCTGGACTCGGGCCATCAGAACCAACATGCCCATGCTATCGTGCTGTTCTTGTCCTGTCTGCAGTCACTTCTGCAGTAGCCATTATGACCTCTGGTTTAATTCCAAACATATAATGCCTCCTTATTTCTAAATCAGTGACACTTGGCCAAGTAATGGAGAACACTGGCCTAATAAGTAGGCAAAAGGAAGTGCTCACCCACACAGCGACAGTGTCCAGTCGAGGCCCCAACTTGGTTTTTGCTGTTCTCATTTGTTTCATTGTGTTGACATTTGTGACTTACAATTTAGAACAGCAGCTCTCAACCTGTGGTTTCACGGGGGTCCCCCTAAGACCATTGGAAAACACAGAGATTCGCATTACTATTCATAACAGTAGCAAAACTGAAGTTTTGAAGTAACAATGAGAATGAGTTTAGGCTAGAGACCACCACCACATGAGGAAGTGTATTAAAGGGTGGCAGCATTAGGAAGGCTGAGGATATTTGTTGAATGGTCCACAGGTTACAAGACACTGCTAGAGAGGAAAAGGAAGATAAGAACGAAGGAAGAGAAGAAAGGAGGGAGGGATGAAAGAGAGAAAAAGAAAGACAATTAGGAAAAAGGAAGAGGGGGAGGAAAGGGGGGGTAGACGAGTGATATCACACTTTGTAAAAGAGAGTGACCGGAGCGGAACACACTTGGAGCCTGCACTGAAAATGAGAAAGTCCATGACGCATGTCACCTGACTGTAAAAGCTGAGCCGATGGGAGAAAACACACTCTACACGGTGTAACTAGAACTTCTGAACGTACACCACACATTTGGAGCTGGGCCGCCTGGTACCCTGCGGTGAGCTGGACAGAAATGGGGAGATGGTCATGGTCCTACTCTTCCTCTCATGGTTTTTGTGACCAGCTGAGCCATCCCTCAGATGAGGCCTAGGACCTGTGGGGACGCCAGGGCTCAAACCACTCATTAAGCCTTCATTTAGAATAACAGATCTCTGTTAGAGATCTTGCACACCCTGTGTTTATGCCCGGCTCCTGTCACACTATGGGCTATGACATCCCCTGTCCCTTGAAGGCAGGGTCCATCTGTAGTTCTTGCGGCCATCATGGTGATATCCACTCTGTCAGTCTACCCATTGTACTTGCAGATGATGAGCCTGAGAGCCAGACAAGCAAGGCTTCTCACCCTAGGTCACACAGGCGGGGCCATCCACCTTGAGCTGGCCTATAGCACTCCTCTCTCCTTAAATGCTCCTGAATTTACCTGGCAGGCCCACAGTGCTCATTCCAATCCACCAGAAGCTGCTCCAACCTCAGAAGGTCGTCCAAACCTGCTATCAACTTTGAAAGCATTCAAGTCATTGCGTTATTGAATCTGATCATTTAACCCTTCTAAGCTAGACATACTCTGTCGGTTGTTTTCCTGATTTCTGCCTCGGAGCTTCCATCTGACCTACAACTCTAAGAGATTTAAACTTTCGCTCAAGATTAAGTTCCTACAGCCCATTTCCTGTATGCACTTGCTTCTCCAGGGGAAGCAATCAATCACTTGATTGATAATTTCTGAATAATGGAGATAAATACTTTCCATTTGAGAGCTCCCATGCTTAAGGTTATTGACAGGTACATTTGTCAACATATCATGGTGGTTTCATAGGATCCTCTGCTACATCCAGCTCCAGTGGCTCTCCTTCTCCATGGTGAAAATGGGTAAGCACCATTTGTTACACAGGTCACCGTAAGGTTCTAGAGACGCAGCAGGAAATGCTGCTACCAAGACCCACTGAATTTCTAAGAAGGCTTCATATCTGGCTGCCAAAAAGGAATTCCATCCTTCTACATCTGTGAACAGCTTGTGTGGTTCTTCCAGCATATAGGGAACAAAATGTAGTTTCTTTAGGTTGGAAATATACACAGAAAAATCCAATTTTATGTTCTTCTAAATAAACTCACAAGTTATAAACAAAGATGACACAAATATGATAAATATCTACCTCTCTTGGAGTGACCCTATACAAAATGCTGTGAATATTTTTATCAGTCGCTATTTTAATTTTCATTTTGACGCTTTGAAGGCTGGGACTCTGAGCTATTATGCATGCAGGAGCACTCCGATTATAAACAGTAGAGCCAGTATGTGAGCCCAGATAGAGAGGAGAGGAAGCTTTGTGGCCAGAGACTCACAGCCTCGCTGTTAAGTCAAAGCAACCACCGCCCACCCCACCCCACCCCACCCCACCCCACCCCACCCCACCCCCCCCCCAAAAAAAAAAACCCTTCGGTCACCATGGCAACATCTTTGTGTCCCTCAAGAGGCAGATACTGGTGTCATCTTCATCCCACCTGTCCCCCTGCTACCCTGCTGCCGCGGCTGGAGCCGGTGCCTTTGACCCCGAGTCCGTGGCTGGCTCAAAGCTGCTCACTGACCTCTCTACCCCCGTGCACAGGCTGTCCCCCAAGTGAAGGGTTAAAGAGTCTAGGCTTGCAACCTCAGCAAAGAGAAGGCCTTGGGGAATTTTACCTGCACCCTCGCCTCTCAGGGTCACCTACTTGGCCTAGCTGGCCACTTGGGGACAGCAGAGACTCAGGGCAGCAAAAGGCAGAGCGGAGGTTGGAGATGAAAGAGCCAATTCTCCATTCTTCCGTGGTCCCCAGAGATGAACACTGTGACCTTGTTCCCAGTCTCCAGCCGGCTGCCCTCCTCCCCCTCTGAGAACACTCCACCCCCGAGACGTGTCCCTGGAAATGTATCCTCATGAGTTGGGGAGAGGGAATTGGAGATGATTTGCTGGAGATAGGGGGGAAAAAAGACAACCCCAGCCACGGCTTTTTATGAACTTTTTTTTCAACTAGACAGACAAGTTTCGTTATCCATACAGTAGCCAAGAATTCAATTTTGGTTTTGTTTTCCCCCTCTGGTTAAAATAAATGTGGCCCTAACTCAATGAATCAAAGTCCTGGCATCCCATAATACCTCGAGTCCCTCTTGTCAGCCTAGAAGGGAAGGTTTCCAAGGCTAGAGTGCTCACACGATTAGGTTGCTGAGTCCAGAACTACACTGACTGTGGACTCCATTTGTGACCCAGTTACAGCCCAGAGCCCCCAGCCGGCCGAGGACAGTCCAAAGTTTCAGACTACGTCCTACAGCTTCGAGGCTGGCAGAGAGCTTTAAAGACCCGGGGTCAAGGTCCAATGTATGACCCAAGTTCAGCTCACGTAGCTCCCTTAGGAGTGTTCCCAGAGTTTTACCCTGCTTAATTCTTCCTGTCCTGAAAGCAGGAAGCCGACAGAAGCTTTGTGGGGTCCACTGTGAGCTTGATGACCACCTGCCATTTCCACCAGTGGGCTACGAACGTCTCTCACCCATCCCTAAAAATTCCTTCTCACGGCGGCAGAGAGCGCGTGAAGGTAGTAATGAGGACCTCTCTGATACTCAAAGTCTTCGCTGAGTCCATTTTACTGTCTTCTGTCTCTCTGTGAAAAAACAACGGAAGAACCACCTTAGGAATGGTCTGTCTGCAGCAGCAGTCCAGACAAGGCTGGTCCTGAGGGTCACTGTCTTCTTCCAAAGTGACAGTCCCACAGCTGCTTTCCTGAGAGTCAAGACACACCCGAGAAGAGACCAACAGTGATTGACGTGGTGCCTGCCTCTTGCAACAGGCCTCTCTTAAAGTCAACAGATTTCACTGAAAAGAAGAATTTCACAATCTTCAACTAAAAATAGTTTTAGATAGGCTCTAAAAAAACATCTAAAACTCCTATGGAAATATTGAGATAAATATGAAATACTAATGCTTTTTGTTAACATTGTACTCTGGCTTTACTATATCCCTTAAATTTCACAAATAACCTTCTGATGAAATATTTGTCTCATAGACAAACTGAAAACAATAGATCCTAACCAGCTCGCTCAAGGCCACAGGGGTTACGACTGACAAGACGAGTTTGATCTAAGGGTCGTCACTGTTAGGTCAAAAGATTTTGCGTGTACTAGAGGAGCAGAGGCAAATACTCTGAGACCAGAGACGATGAGATTCTGCCTGTCCTCAGCAGTTAATGAAGTTTCACAGAAGAACCATGGAAGAACATAGAATTGGAGTAGCTGAGACAATGCATCCAGGAAGCAAGAGGCTAGTCCCTATTGCATTTCTGGAAAGTGTTAGCTGAATGAGTGAAGAATGATTGAATAAAGTCGGAAGCCAGCTGGGTCAGGTGAACAGCTCAGAAGGCCGTGACGGCATTCCCTGGTTCAGGGGACTGAGTGGTACATGCTGGCCCGATCTAGACAAGCTGAGCTGAGCAGCCCAAAGAGAGTGCTTTGGCATGAAGGGACCTGCAGGCCAATCTAAGAACTCTAGATTTGCCTTGTAGGTGAGCTCAGTACCTCTTGGGTGTTGCCCCAAAGGCTTGGTCCTGAAAATGAAACAATGGGAACTGTTGACAACATGTTGGAAGTGATTTCGCCAAATCCATGCTTCGGGAGGGCAGACAGGCAGTAATGTAGAGCATGCATAGCTTCTTGATTTTCAAGGCCTCATCTGGAGTCTATCTAAGACTCCTATCAGTTCTTTGTTCTCCCCATCAGTAAGAGCAGATTTAAAGACCAACATGGCGGAATTCACGGTGAGGACTGAGTAAGGGTTGGGGAGACTGAGAGAGGACACAGAAAGCCAGAAAAAGAAAACTTTAAAACTCTCCAATCTTGATTTGTGGCCAAATAGAACTGTTACATGGTCACTCTTTTCATTATGCTTGTTAAGTGGATCAAATGGTCTTACTAAGCTTTTGTTACCATAATAATTAAATGAAGTAATGTCCTGTGTCTGAAATGATTAAATACGTCTCTGAAATGAAGAAAATGGAGGTTTATGATTTTAAAACTATAGCTATAATGAAATTTCATTCCCTTTATTGATTTTATTATAAAATATTTCCTTTTTGCATTCTTAATTCAAAGCAGGGAAATGCGAACATGGTTGAAAATAAAATACGGAAAATCCTCAGGCTGGGCTGTAGGAAGCCTGTCAGTTGGGCGGGTGTGTTGCTCACTAGAACAGTACCGGGGCTGTACTAGAAGACGGTAAAAGGAATTAGATTCAGCTTTGCCAAAATTTCACTGTGAAAGCGTTTCCTCTAACAGGGACTTATTCTGTTCCTGCTGAACTTCAGCCAGTTGAAAATAGACTATCCCCCACCATCCTTTTAAATTAGCCTTCAACGGAACACAGAGGACGAAGATCAATGTGCAAATTCAGCTCGTTGCACTCGGCTCCTTAAGAAATTTACTGTGCTGCTAATACACAGACCTCAGAGGTAATGGAACATGGAATAACGGGAGCCTGAAAGGGGCATTTCTTATTTAATATACGTCTATTTAACTGTCTGCGGAGTTCTGTATGTAAACTGCTATTTGCGTGCCTTGAGTTACATCAATTCTCTTCACTTGCCTCAGAGATAGCTCAAATAAAGCTGTCACCCACCTGGGTCTTGTGTCCATGACAAACTAATGGTGAAACTTTGAGCCTTAAACTATAGGGAATATTGTTGGAGCAATGCCTGAACAACTACACAGTGTGTTTAGATCTTGATTTGGATTAGGAATCAGGAAGAGTTTTGAATCCCTACATAGAAAAGGTGTGTGCGTGTGTGTGTGTGTGTGTGTGTGTGTGTGTGTGTGTGTGTGTGTGTGTGTATGTGTGTGTATGCACTATTCTCACAGGCCATACCAGGTCTAATGCTGCTAACTGTCCTACATAACATTGTTGCTATGGATGCCTAAACTTTTCTTAGAAAAATAATATTTGAAAGGCCCTAAAACTACCCATCTGCCTGAGAATTCGCTCACGTGTTCTGATGAAGGAAAACAGATAACAGCCCAGAGACCCACCCAGAAGGTGGAAGCTGGGCATGCTGGCAAAAGACGATGCTGAAGCCCGCCAGACAAGCACAGAGATTGTTGGAAGTGTCAGAGTAACTTGGGTACACTCAGAGACCAGTTGAGCAAATGGAAACAGGACGAATGATGGAAATCAGGTTGTGTCCAGGGAGAGCTGCTCTGTCTTCATGACTCGGTACCGATGAGGCCAGGAAGTCAATGTAACTACAAGAAGCCACAATAACAGATTAATTTAGCATGCCTGGGCTTATGTGGAAGAGTGGAACTGTCCACCAGTGAAGGGGTATGGATGGGACCTTTGCCACATGTAACAGCAGGCCACCAGGGGTCTGGCACAAGGAAAAGAATGAGAGGGGAGAGGTCATCATCTCTGTTGTCACCACAGAACTTCACTGAAGAAAATAATGGGGACAACTGGTGAGCATGAACCTGGAGTGTAGTGGGAAAGGAGACAGACAGAAAAGACCAGGAGGCCTTCTTAGAAAGCAATCCACACAGTTCCTGTGACACAGGAAATGCAAAACATGAGGCCCACAGTTAGCCAGCTCCAGGAGACACTGGAGGACTCACAGGAACAGGGGCTTGCTCCAGGCACATGGGGCTTATTGATGATGGTAATGCTGTCAGTGTCCATGCAAGTCCACGTCACCATGGCAACATTGTGTGTGTGTGTGTGTGTGTGTGTGTGTGTGTGTGTGTGTGTGTGTGTGTGTTCAGAACATGTGAGATGGTTCAAGATGGTTTAAGGATTCCTGAAGGAGCAGCACAAACCTTAAGTCCATATTCTCAGTAAGTGGCCTGGTTCTGATTCCATGTTAACACAGGTCAGAGACTGGGACATCGAGTCCCAGTGACTTTCTCAGCTTGGAGGCAGAGGTGGTGGGAATGAGGTTCGTAGCTGCCAATTCACAGGCAAAACCCAGTATTCTTTGTTTCTGTGTATCTTGGTTTAATTTCCTGGCTCTGAGCTCGGATTCCCAGCCAGTGGGGCTTCAGTCAACTCCTGTGCACAGTTTGGCTCTGTGTGGGTTGACACCTCTCTCCTGGTGGTGCCTCTCCACTTATGGCCCCACCCCAGCTTTTTGAGCACAGCAAATGACCGAACTCCTTGTTCCCAGACAGCAGAGAGCTAGTTCCTGTCCAGCACTGTTCCTCAAGCAGGGCTTGCCTCTGAAAACACACGCACGCACGCACGCACGCGCGCACACACACACACACACACACACACACACACACACACACACGTCTTATGCTCTAACTCTACCTGTCTCTTCGGCATGGAGCTTGCTAGTCTGGTAGATGACCCATCTTGTATGTCTGTGCTTCAATCACTGTTGCTTTATATTCTTACTAAGAATTTAGGTCTTGATTCCATGTGTCTATTCCCAGGAATTCTTACCTTGGCATAGTCTATCTTGTAGCCCACTGGAGCCAGCTGCAGGCAGGTACATCTTTCTACCTCAACTGTAGGATAACTCCAGCCCCACCCAGCTCACGGGCTACAATTTGACAGCACTCCCTTACATCAGTTTAGCTTGATACAATTCAACTACGAAAATCTCTAGGAACTACTCAGTTCTTCTGGAGGGACTGTTCTGGTCCACCTCTGATTGATCAAACAGGGTGTGTTTAATCAGCCTCCACCCTCCATGCCCTCGGTGTGTAGAGAGGGTGATTTGCATGTTTGCTGGGCACTCATACCATCTGTTCCCCATTATTTTTATTGTTTTACATTATTTTTTATTTTTATTCTTCCCGCATTCTCACCCTCTTCTTTCTCCACCTGCTCAGTAGTTACAGTGGCTCCCCAGTAATTGACCCCCCACCACCACTTGGGTAAGGTTGCCATTTCACTCCATGTCAGTACTTCCCAAATCTGTTTTCCTGAAGCTCCATTCTCCCTCAGTCACCAAGTCCATATCTTCAACTACGTTTTAGTCACCCCCAAGCCCAAATGGCTAGAGTTGAATTCCTGGCTCCCTTTGCACACCTACCCTTCCCATTGTGTGCCCAGTGTGTGTAAGGAGGCACGTCTGTTGCCCTCCCTGTTCTGGAGCACCAGCCCCATCGTGGATGCTGTTCCCACCATGTCCAGTCAGTCCTCTCAGTCCTGCTGCTATGGAGAGGTTCTCTCCCACTCCCCTCCCACTGCTCCCGCCACATGCATTCAGGATTCTTCTCATTCCCACCCCAGGCTGAGGAGTAGGGACCCCACATGTGATCCCATGGTCCAGCCCCTGAGTGCATCCTCTTACTGCTGCAGAAGTTGGAGTCATCCTCCTGCATACATCCTAACTCATGCTCCTTTAATTCCAGCACGTGGCCTGCAGCCATCCCATTCGGCCTCTGCTGTCTTTACTCCCATCTTCTCCTTTCCCAGACCCCACCCATGTGTCCCCATTAGTGGCCAAATTTCTCCTCCTGTTCTCGGGTCCAGAAGGTTTGCTCCGGGCAGGTCACAGCATTGCAGACAGTTAGCCGGGGGTCTCCCTCAGGGACATTGTTTCACGGCACAGCATCTACGCAGCGGCAGTGATCATGAGACTGCCTGTCCTATCAAATGTCCAGTCTCCACCACTGTGGAAGGGGAGTGTGAGAGACAAGGCTGTCTATGCTCCATATCCCCACTAAACACCACATCAATGTCCAGTCTTTAATATGGTAATAAATGGAGAGTGAGTAAAGGTCCCACAGGGACCATGTCTCTCTAAAAGACCACTTACAACACTTTTTTTTATTGTAATTGTCACTTTGCTGCTATGTTGTGACTGTGTGCATTTATATGGTAATATTTCCTAAATAAAATCATGTGCTCTGTGCAAACAGAGTCCCCAAGCATCGTTGTGCCTTGCATATCCCGTCAGGGAGACAGGGAGCTTTTCTAGGCATAGAAGAGACTCTCCTAAGTAGTTTTCTGTGTCTGGATATAGTAGGCATTTACCAAATGTGTTGTCTCTGTTGAAATAATTCAATACTGCATAAATTGCTTCAATGACAATTCATAACCCAATCCTGTCCCTCATCAAAATAACTCATTACTATGTCTAACACAAAGAATATATACTTAGGCCCTAGGCTAGAGAGGAGATGCCAAGGCACTGTCTTGGAGGTGTCTGATGTCTTTCAAAAGCTGCTCCCCCTACTGAGTCAGACCGTGATCTTCAGCTTTAAAGGTTCCTTCCTCGGGAAGCCGCCGTTGACCTGTGTGTGTGACGGTCCATAAACAGAAAGTCTGTGACCATGCTTCTAGAAGGCAGCCTGGTCCCTTCCTGTTAGTTGTCTTCCTCATACTTGGCCTAGGGCCGTTTTCAGTCCGTGACCTGCACCCAGTTCCCCTCAGTATCTGCGGTTGCCATTCAGCCGCGCCTGGCTTTGCCCCTGTGTTGTTCTTGTGTCTGGGGACCTGAAACAGCCATCAGGGTCCATCCAGGCTGTCACTCACTTGTGGGGAAGACATGCTTTAGTGCCAGTGTGTCCTGAGGAGCTCCCAGGTGCTGTTCCTCTGTGGATGTCAGCTTAGGACAAGTAAGGAATAAAAGCTAAAACCTGAAAAAAAAAAAAAAAAAACAACTGGGACGTGTTAACTTGTCTTTCCTTGTTCCAATTTTTTTAAAAAGATTTATTTATTTATTTATTTATTTATTTATTTATTTATTTATATGTTATGAGTATTTGTTTACATATGTATGCGTATTGTGTGCATGCCTGGTACCCACACAGACCAGAGAAGGCATCAGAACCCCTGGAACCAGAGTTACAGAGAGTTGTGCATACGCTATGACGTCCTTTGCAAAAGGACTATGTGCTCTTTCTCAATGAGCCGTCTTTCTAGCCCCGCTTCCCTCATTTGAGACCACCTCACGCGTGGCTCCTGCTGGCCTGGAACCCGTAGAGCTCTGCCTGCCTCTGTCTCCCACGCACGGATATTAAAGGCATGTGAGACCACGCCCAGCTTTGACCGTTCAGTGTGGTCTCCTCTGAAAAGCAAGAGTTAGCCACTTGTTGGCCTAACAAAACATACGTTTTGACTGTAAAAAATGCCAAAGATAGTTTAGGGAATTAATGGGAGGGTAACTTCGGAAAACATTTTGCCAAAGCAAATTCAAGTGGAGATTTATAATGTGTGTACAAAGCGTCTTCGCATGATCAAAGGAAGTGTCACCCCGAGCTACAAGCCCCGTGTCTAACCTAATTCTGCTGAAGAGAAGTGAGGCCTCGGATGAGCCGATAAGAGGTTTGCTCGAATGACAATGTCTGTGCTGACTAACGCAGGCGTGGGCAGCAGAGTTCTGCTAGTGGACACTTGCCGGTTTGTCTCCAGTCTTTTAAGACTTACAGAACGATGGGAAACTCGGAGTCACCTATTGTCAATGACTGGGGGCTAATGTACAACGTAATGAAAAATAGAATGAATTAGATGCTTCATGACGTGCTCGTCCACTCTCTGATACCTGCGGAGCTGGATGTATGTCATTGCCAATCATTTGTATAGCAAGTGCTTTAACAGACTTTCAGGGCAGGGGTTGACGGCCTCTCCCCACGTTCCCTTTCATGTAAAATGGCACCAAGTTCTATTTCATTTCCTATTATGAAATTGTACACAGTGGTCTCCCAGTAAGCAGCCTCCATTTGTGATTTGGTACAATCTTGTACCTGGGGAGAGGTACAAGAAAGTTCTGTGAAAATGTGTTTACATGCCTTCAGCATCAACAGTCAGCTGTTACTGGTGCCATGAGCCCAGTGCCCAGTGACTGACAAGGCCAGCATTCACCGTCCCTCTTTATGTAAACGCTGAGGCCTGACCACTCCAGGACATTCTGCCTATTGCTTCTTGGTTCATGCTTGCGTGGTCTGGCTCCTGGATGGTCTGTCACTTATTTTTGTTAGATCTGGTAATATCTCAAAGAAGTATAAATCTTTGTTAAACAGAAGTAACAGAGCCCCCAAATAAGAAATAGTCTCTTGAGGAGACAAGGGGGTCATCTTCTAAGGAAGGTCTTAACAATGCAAGCGGACTAGACCCTGTTGTGTGGCTGTTCCCATCCCCATAATTGGTGAGTGTTCCTCACTGCCCTCCTGACAGAAAGTTCTTCATTACGAACCTTTCACAATGACTCAGGTAGCCACTAAGGAGCCAGGAAACCTACCTAAAGACGATGTGAGTAGAAATTCAAAGGCAAGCATAAACATTCTTAAACCAAACAAGAAATCCCCCAATGTCTGCATTTACATTTGTTCTCTGTAAGCACAGTCCTAGCTAGAGCCCCAGAGATCCATACCCTTGAGCCAAAGACCTAATCTTCTGGTATCTGGAGGAAGAGAGGGAGGGAGGGAGTGACCTGGCTGGCAGCAAAGAGACTCCAGTCAGATACAAGGGGCAGACAGAGTCTGCAGGAGGAGACTGGTGCTGACGCACTGGAATCACTGGCGCTGGGCCCTGTGGAGCTTATCTAAAGACCCCCCCCAGGCAGCCCCAGAAACTTAGAATGCTCCTCACAGAACACGGGTCCATCCTTAGAGCAGCCAAGACTGATCTCTTCTCTCCATTTCTTCTGATTGGTCTTCGTTGCTGAGAAAGATTTGTGAGAGGTTAGCAAGAGTAATGGGACCTCAGGAAAATCTGTTCCGTAGTCAAGAGCTGGAATGGGGCAGAAATGACGCTGTGTTCCCAGTCAGACGTTCCCTTGATATCCTGAGAGACAAAGCCACACATGACTCAGTCTCCTTCCATGGCTACTTCCATCTGGCTTTGACCATTGCCATTCATGTGCACACCGGCCACTCCTCCGTGCCTCTCCGGAGCGCACGGCTGTTCGGGTGACCTGCTTGTCACCCAAACTCCCCAGCCAGAAAATTCCTTGCCTAGCATTTCCTGAAGATTTGAGCTTACACTGTGATTTACATACTGTTATTTCAGGAACTTGGAGAAAATGAGGCTGCAGTGAAGTTAAGAAAGGATTGTTAATTAACTCTGTTTTTGTTTCGTTTTGGTTTGTTTTTTGGTTTTTTTTGTTTTTGTTTTTGTTTGAGACAGGGTTCTCTGTGTAGCTTTGGAGCCTTTCCTGGAACTCACTCTGTAGCCCAGGCTGTTGCCAAACTCACAGAGATCCACCTGCCTCTGCCTCCCAAATGCTGGGATTTAAAGGCATTAATTAACTCTTAGGAAAAGATAATGGTAAAATAGACAAATCCCATTTCCCTTGCTCCTCTAGACCAAACGCTTCAAGATTAGGAGGGAAAGGAATAAATCACCATCATCCCTTTGCAGCCTCCAGCCTAAGGCTTTCTCAACCTTCAAATCAAATTCCGTAAGGAAGCCTTACCTCGGGATTCAAGCCTCGGTGTCATCTGACCCTCACTTTCTGTGACATCCACATCTGTCCATGATGCTGCCTTTGTGTCTGCTAAGAGCCCGTCCACAGCCGTCCCTCCTCCCTCTTCTGGTACCCTTCTCGAACTCCTACACCATCCCTCTGCACTCCCCACACTGTAGACCAGTCTCTCCATCATCTGGAGAAGTCACGGCATCTCTGTGGCCTCCGTGGACCCCTCTCTGAAGTGAAAGTATTCTCTTAGGTCTTTGGAAGTTTTCACCTAGCTGTAGGGTTTCATTGGCCCATTTCCAACCCCAAGACCTTTCATTCCAGCTTCCCCTGGGCCTTCCTCCCCTCTTAGATGGGCACTTTGGACATCATTCAATCCAGAGTATCTATGGTCACTCCATGTAGCCCTCTCTGCCTTTGTCCCTACTCTGCCTGTCAACTGAAATGCTGCCTTCTCTTCCATCCTCATCATCAGCCACAAAAGCCCTCTGCTGTAGAGCTGTGCAGAATTTTCTAAAACATTTGCACCCATCTCTTTCTAATGTGGTGATAGCCTATCTCAGGGCGCATCTTACTTGCTACCCAGGTGGCACACCACACAGTAGACTCTAAGCGTCCTGAAGACTCTAATCTTACTCCCTTCTCTCTCTCTAAACGATTTCCCAGTCATCACTGCCCTCAGTGGAGTTGCTGAGTTGACTCTAATTAATTCTGTTTTTAACAGAATCTGGCGAAGGATGTCACAAGCTTGCTTTTATAACCAAAGAAAGCACAGTTGTGCAGCTGCCCTGAGGCTCTGGGGTCTGGGGTGGGGTGGGGGTGTAAAAATAGGGAGAATCCTCAGAAGCCAGCTGACTGCTGGTCAAACCAGGTGCAAGTTGGGGAGCATTCTATAGTGAATGAAGGAAGAGAAGGAGCCCAGTGGGAAGGCCACCCTGCTCTTGCAGAACCCTGTTGTTGCTCCTCATCTTCAGAGAGAATACCGGATCATTTCAGCTCCCTTGTTGACTGATTTGTATGTTCTTCCTACAGAGAGTTCCAGAAAAAGAGCTATTGTTCGCATTCCTCCATGCCGACACAGCGCCCATTGTTGACAACCCTAATCTCAATGCACACAGCTAGGTCCGTAGGCTCAGGGACAGGCTCTGTCTCCCCCTCTGCAGCCCCAGACAGTGAATACTGTGTTCTTTATCTCTTATCACAGCTCTTTTGTCAAACATTTCATGAATTTTTTTTTCCCCACTAGACAAATGTGTAGTTTGTTATCAACAATAAAAATGCCTATTGCCATGCTTTTAAGCATTTAAACTTTGGGGTGTGTGTCTCATGAGCATGAATTAAAGTACTTACTCCATTTTAGATACAACAATTTTATTATAAGACACGTGGCCAAGTGTCTCTAACATGTCGCTCAAGTGGAGCTGTGTTTGGACTCCATGAACATGTGCTTTATTGGATGTATTTGGATTTCTGAGGGAGGGCGATTGTCCGACCCTCCTGCCTCACAGGCTGCTGTGGGGGTACCTGTCAGGTTTAGACAGGTGCAGACGCCTGTGATGCTGCCACACATGGCCATCAGCAGACCAGGTCTGCAGCATTGGAAAGACCAAACACTCTCCCATTCCAAAGATCTCCATTTTTCCAAGTGTCCGAGACTTCTTCCTATTCTTTAATTCATAAGCTCGATCCCAAAGCCCGTGGGAAATAAAAGCATTTAAAGAAACATAATAAATACAACACTTTCCTGGTTTAAAAATGACAATATGTTGCCTGATACAAACATTTGAAGCCTTTAATTCAAATGAATATTTATAGCAAAGAAATAAAATAAATCCCTAGCACATTGGCATATAACTTCAGGGCAATCTTAAAGTATCCACATTTTTAAGTTGCTGATGAAGTCTACAAAGTTTTAATGTGACTCTCTATATTTTTTATGAATACAAATTATACAATCTGCAATTTGTGCGCTAATCATTCCCCTGAAGCTTGTCTTTGATTGGGAATGGAAGTGGGTGCCAGTCTTTCAAATGCCCAAAGGAAAATAAAAAAAATAAATTAAAAAAAAAAAAAAACGCACTTTGGTTGTGCCTTGAATGTATTTGAATGTGCTGGTTTACCTTTCCAGGGCCAAAGGGAAAGAGTTGGGGGTCTAGGCAGCCCCTGTGCTATGGTCCAAGTTGGACTGCTATGAGCCCCCGTCCAGTGTGGAGCCCCACTGGCAAGGCAACTCTTCCTAGACTTTGTGAGACCCGGAAGGGTGAGGGGCAGCAATTGTGAAGGATCTAATTCAGAGCCAGAGATTTGAGCAGCCCTCCTGAAGGCCTCCTGGAAATTGAAATGCTCAATACCAGAAAGGGTGAAGGGACAGTGTAGTTGGTTGTTTTTATTTTTCACTCTTTGACTCTTTGGGGTGCCCACCACCCAGCTCCCGAATAAATACACATGGAGACATAGTCTTACTTATAAATGCCTGGCCTTAGCTTGGCTTGTTTCTAGCCAGCTTTTCTTAACTTAAATTATCTGGTCTATCTTTTGCCTCTGGGCTTTTACCTTTCTCTATTTCTGTATATCTTTCTTCTTACTCCGTGTCTGGCTGTGTGGCTAGCCTATTCTTTTCTCATTCCTTTATCCTTTCCTCCCAGATTTCTCCTCCCATTTATTCTCTCTGCCCGCCAGCTCTGCCTATCCTTTCTCCTACCTTACTATTGGCCATTCAGTTCTTTATTAGACCATCAGGTGTTTTAGACAGGCACAGTAACACACCTTCACAGAGTTCAATAAATGCAACATAAAAGAATGTAACACATCTTTGCATCATTAAACAAATGTTCCACAGCATAAATGAATGTAACACATCTTAAAGTAATATTCCACCACAGGACAGTGATACTGAAGGATCTAACTCAGAACCAGAGACCTGAGCAGCCTCCTGAGGGCCTCCTGGAAACTGAAATGCTCAGTGGGATGGGCACTGCTGATCTGTTTCAACTCAATGACTTTTCCTCAAGATGGCTTTTGAAGTCTTCATATTCCAAGTTAAAACTTATACCTACACATTGTATTTTGAAAATATTCCTAAAATCACTTCCAGCAAAATCATATTTCAACTATAGTGTATATTTTAAACTTCTTGAGGGAAAAAAAAGAGACTCTTTCTAATCCATGTTGGATATAATACTATTAACATGAGTCAGACTGGACAATCAATGAGGTCATCCGTGCTGGAAAATCTATGTCTGACCACAGGTTTCCTTGCCGTTCACGGACAGCCGTTGTTTGGGGGGAAGGGCCCACAGCCATCCCATCACCTTTGAAATCCCAGCCTACAGTTGTCCCCTCTCTTTCTTCCCTTTGCCTCCACCCTCCCTTGTTCTTTTCCGCTCCTCCACCTTCTCCTTTTCCCTCTTTCCTTTCCTCTCTGTATCCTTCTGTCTGAGTCTCTTTGTTTCTGTACCTGTCTTTCCCAAAGCAGGAAGCGCAGGCCCCTCAATGCTGGATGCTCAGGGTCCCCTGATACCCCAGTGCAGCAGGCCGCCGCCCACCGTCAGGATGAGCTGGGTAACAGGCCCAGGTTGCAGTCTTTGGCAGTCACAATGGTTGGTATGCCTGGACTTCACGGACAGCTGTCACTTTCTTAGGCTGTGGTTGCTTGGTGCCTCCCAAAACTCTACTCACGAGGACCTCAGTGTCCAAGTATTTCGGTTACTAAAATCAGTCCTGGAGGTCAGCATGTACTGGCCCACCGGCCAATACGAATGAGGCTGAGATTCCCTCTCATTGTCCTTCTTCAGCCCTCTGCTTCGGCCTCCCTCCCCTCCTCTACCTCTCTTTGCCTTCTGCACGCGCCTGCCTTGGTTGTTAGTATGCTGTGCAGACTCCAGACATTTGGAGATCTGCCGAAGCTTTCCCTCTAACTCAACATCCACAGGCTCTCAGGACAGGGCTCCTGCTCTCTTCCCTCCTAAGCCCATTCTCTTCAGCTGGAGCCTTGGCGTGGAGTTGGCTTCCAGAGGGAGTCCACTTCTATTGACCTTTAACCCTTATGTGATTGGAATGGAGGTATGTTTTCAGAGGAATAGTGGAAGGAGTCACCTCTATCCTCAGACACAGAAAGAAAGAGCATTTGGGATTTGCTGGTCAGCTCAACCATGAGTAGGTCTCCATGTCTGCCATTTTAATTGTTTTCCTACATTATACTGAACTACTAATCATGTTGCGTAATCATTCATTTCCTTTATAATTCCTCAAATCCCAATCTAATCTTGAAGAGATTGAACCCAGTGGGACTGAACACCAAAGAAAAAGCAGTCCTGCTGTGGTGCCTGCCACCCTGGCCACACTTCTGAGATGCTCTCTTGGGCTTGGTTCTATTTATATCATACAGTTGGCCATGAGGCCTGTTAATGTAAGTGTCCAGTGAGAAAGAGCCCCAGGCAGCCACCCTTCTGCCTTCTCCATGTGTCCTTGGAACTCAATGCCTTACAGTGTACATAACTTACTTATGCCCCGTTTCCCAGAAGTGCACCTTAGAAGCATTGTACGTTATAAAATAGACAGGTAGCCCCACAGTGCCTGGAGCCTCTCTGGTCAGAGGACTGTGCTCAGGGGGACCTCTGTGCCTTACCTACACCTCCCCAAGCTTGCCCCGGAGGTTCTGGTCCTGTAGACACTGGCTCCCCACACTGCCTACCTCCTAAAGGGAGTTTGTCTGTCCCTGCTTTAATTCTAGTGCTACTTTACTGGAGAAATAGGAGGCTGGTCTGAGACAATCCAACCTTCCTCCTCCCCCTCTGGACTTCTCCCTCCTCTGACCCTTGCTGGGGGCTTCTAGGCTCTCCATCCTGTAATGGCTCCCAGGACACCCCTTGCAGCTCAGCCACCACACCCTGCCCCCATCACTCCTCCTTTCTCTCTACTCACACTCTCTGTGTGGGGCATTATGGATTCAAAGGGCTTCTCCATGTTTGGTTCCTGTGTAGACTCTGTCTCCCTACTCACTGGACAGATGCCTTCCTGGGCTTGTCCTGAGACTACGGAAGAAGCACGTGTCCACCCTCAAAGTTGATTTTCTCACATGGGTGGGTTTCACAGGATTTGAAGAGGAGTGTGGCTTCTTAGCTTTGTCAGCCAGTCAGACCTGTCTGTGACAGACACCCTAAGGTACTCTAAGAACCATAGCTCTGAATCTTCAGCCACATTCCCCAGAGCTTTGCTACTGCATCAATAATACCGCCTTTCCTTCCCACCAGGACCTAAATCCCAGGGTGACCTCTCTCACTTCCCTCCTCTCTCCCCAGCTCCTATCTGCTCCAAGGCCTCTCACTGTCTGGAGTCCCTGGGAAATGTGTCTGGAGCTTCACAGTATTGTATAGAACTTAGTGAGACGCTGCGCTGAGTCTCAGGAGTGTACCAGAGGACTAAAACCTCACTCAGCAGGGTTCGGGGTGACATTAGTTAACACAGTCTAAATAAACACATAAGGGAACAGTACACAACATGCCTGCTACTCAGTAATGGCTTTATGAAGCCTAGAAACAGACATGAACAGACTCACCTCTCCATGTCACATTCAAAGGACAAGTAGAGGTGGGTGTGGCAGTATAAGCGTGTCATCTGGGCAGGAGGATGGGAATTTCAAGGTCATCATCAGCTGCAAAGAAGGTTCAGGGCCAGCCTGAGCTACATGACACCCTGTCTTAAAAACAACAAAAAGATACGCAGACAAGAAATTAAAAAATTGAAGCTAAACTCCTCAAGATAATTTCTTTTTCACTAGAAAAATATGTGTTTTATTAGTAGATATTTAATCTTT